AAAACCAAGGGAGTAAAAACATCAAATATTGACATGATCAGTGTGATTTAAGACTTCCATTCCAAGCAAACATTTGTGCTTTTTCTATTCCAAACAAATGAATAACTTTGCCAAATCATTTCGATTATTTCAAAGGACATTATTTTTGTCAGTTATTTTAAGTGGACTTAACCAACTGAGTTACATGCAAAAAGGATACTTTACTGACTAACATACTTTATTAGGTACACCTTTCCAACCGCTACTTCACGCAAATTTCTAATCAGCCAATCACATGGAAGCAACTCAATGCATTTAGGCATGTAGACATGGTCAAGACGATCTGCTGCAGTTCAAGCAGAATGGGAAAGAAAGGTGATTTAAATGACTTTGAACATGGCATGGTTGTTGTCCAGATGGGCTGGTCTGAATATTTCAGGAACTACTGATCTGCTGGAATTTTCACACACAACCATCTCTAGGGTTTACAAAGTATGGTCCGAAAAAGAGAAAATATCCAGTGAGTGGCAGTTCTGTGGGTGCAAATGACTTGTTTATGTCAGAGGTCATAATAGCATAATAGCATCTCTGAATACGTCCAACCTTGAGGCGGATGGGCTACAGCAGCAGAAGACCAATAGAGCACATTTGGGATGTGGGGGAACAGAAGATTTGCATTATGGATTTGCAGCCGACAAATCTGCAGCAACTGCGTGATGCTATCATGTCAATATGGGCCAAAATCTCTGAGAACTATTTCCAGTACCTTGTTGAATCCCCAAAAGATTAGGGCAGTTCAAAACAAATAGGAGTCCAACCAGATACTAAGGTGTACGGTACTTAATAAAGTGGTCGGTGAGTTTATTGTTGGATAATTAGTGATTTTAGATATTAACTAACATTTTTTTTTTTGTAATTTGCGCAAAGCAAATGCCATACAGATTCTTCAGTTTTCTTTAGCATCTTTTACATATTAGAACCCTTTCTAGCAGTGACTGCATCATTTTGAGATCCAGCTTCTCTTTACTTTTTGAGAATTAAATACAATGAAACATATTTGATGTACAATATCTTACACAGAATGATGTATGATATGTACACAGTATGATCTCTCTTATTTTGGTAAAATTGTTCACTTGATTTAGGAAGGAGTTTACAAACAAACTTTTAAACCGCACTATATTAAAGTCAGAATTATTAGCCCCACAATATATTAGAATTATTTATAATATTTAATAAATTTACTGTATTTTAATAACATCTACCCCCACCCAAAGCCTAAACCCAAACGTCACAGTAATGTAGAAACAGTAGTTGTACAGAGTATTATTTGTTATCTATTAAATTACCCAACAAATTATATTTTTTAACGCCTACCCCACCCCAACCCTAACAGTCATAGTACTGTAAAAGTATGAATTTTTGTTATACAGTGTCATAAAAAATGCTGCTATATTGATGTGCATATCACACTTCTGGCTGGCTGCGTGTCCGATCTAGACTTTACCGATTGTATGGGTTTAAATTTTCTAGGTGGGTATAGAAATTTTGGGCGGTTTGGCATTTTTGATTTTCACGACCATCACAACCAACACCACTCCCACCCCACCCAACCCCAATGGCGGGTTTCGGATAGTTTTGGGGCTGGAATCAGTCTGCTACATCTGGCAATACTGGTCTTATTCACTCCCATTCATTTTTAGACGCTAAAAACAGCTCGTTATGCTATTTGATGTTGCAAACTGACATTTTTTTTTTGATTATATTATTCTGCTTTGTTTGTATAATAATGCAAACGCTTGATTTTAAAGCAAGTAGTTTGACCGTTTTCTGTGTATTATTTCTAGTCATTTCAGTCGGAAGTTCTAAAATAATCGCAAAAATGAGCATACTTCCGCATTGAAGAATAAGGTCAATAAAGATGGTTTGTTTTGTAGACCATCGGAAAATATAAACAGCGTATTGCTTAAGGGGCTAATAAATTACCTTAAAATGGTTTAAAAAAATATAAAACTGCTTTTATTCCATAAAATAAAACTTTCTCCAGAAGAAAAAATATTATCTTAAATACTGTAAAAAACTCTTTGCTCTTTTTGAATATTTCCCAATTTATTTATCAGTGGAGAACACAGGAGGACTAATATTTTTTGACTTCAACTGTACATATGTGTTTGTACTTTGTACACACACATTTAAGCACATTAAAAGCAATCTTAAAGAAATATGAGGCTCACTTACATTTTTAGTTCAAAACCAAAATGACATATTTGATTTAACAAAAAAAGCTCATACTCCATGTCTGTCAGGGTTTCCATAAACGTGGCCATACTCAGCACTGAGTGACATTTTCTGGCAAGCAATCAGCACATATGCAGGGACCATAAAAAGCACTGTAAAAACTCATTCACATCTATTTTAACCACGAACTCTCCCCATAATTCATTATTAAATGTCATGGGTTTAAAGATATATTTATAGATACATTTATATGCCTTTTAGCCTGTGTGCATTACACATATATAGCTTTTATTAAGTCCCAATCAGACCAAACTGAAAACTGGACTAATGAAAAAAAGACATTACATACTGAAATGGACCACAGTGGTGGAAGCAAGACTCAGATCTGCATGAAATGTAGTTTCTGACTAGCTTAAAATGAGTTTTCAAGGATAAATACAGTTTGAAATGAAAACATGTCAATATGGTTAAATAATCCCACTTAAATAACTGAATGTTTTGAAATCTGTACATTGAGTCAATGCTGTGACACACTATTGGGAATGTGTTGAAACCGGCTTTGCCAGTAAAAGCATGATTAATCATTACTAATGTATTAGTCAGAGTAAACCGAGCGACTGATCTTCTCTTTTCCAACAGTGACTGTATGTTTGTTCACTCAAAACGAAGCTGTATCTCTCTTACACATCTGAGCCAAGCCCTGGGGGATCCTTGAGTTAACATACTGTCTGCAAACCTTCAGAAAACACACACAAAAATAATCTTTTCCTTTCTGCACGTGGGCCGGACTGCCATGCTTGGTGTTGGATTTATATTTGGCTTGAGAAATCATCTCTCCTTTTACTGTTGAAAAACGTTTTGGTCAATAAAAGCCTGATGGCACACACTTTCACATAAACACACACACACTCCTGTGGAGCAGAACAACATTACACGCATTCACAGAACAATTGAATAAATCTGGAGTCTTCTGAAGCTCAAATAACGAAAGAAGCCTGTGAAAGTGAAAGGAGGAATGATATGGGATAAAAAGGAATGTGGGATCTTAAAAAGTGAAAAATTTCGAGAGAGAAGGCAATGGTTTAACCGCTAACCAGCTGTTTTCTGCCTGTCATTACTTTCAAGCCGAACAGCCCTAAACAAAACACCTGGTGCTCGAGAAGATAATCACGGGAAAGAGGGAAAAAGGTGAAACATGTTTCTGTCTGAAAGAGAGATTTCAGTTCAACAGGAAGCATTTGAGCATCTCCAACAATCTCCACCAAGTTCAATAAACAGAAAAGTTTAAGCTTAAATTGTTAAATTGTAGATGGAACATTGGGAGTTGTTGATTGATTTTTAAATGACCAATAACAACAGTCCTAAATAAAGTAAATCCGGAATCCACGGTTAGTTAGAACTGCAATGAACTGTATGCACAGTTAGTGTTTTTCAGTCAATGATGAACTTCCAGGGAAAGCTCAATAGACTTAGGCATCCTTTTAAACACAGACACTGTCATTGGCAGCAGGCTAGCGCAGAAATTCAATCGAAAATACTGGGGTAAAATTAATGTCCATATTTTAAATACATGTTTCGGAAAAATATAATTTAATACAGTGCTTCCTGTTTGGTCTGATACCCAATTTATATCGTATCTCAGCCAGGCAGTAAAGATTGCTGTTTTATTTAGGGAAAGCATATCTTATATGCGCGATTTTATATGGGATGAGAATTAGAAGCCACTGGGGTTGGCTAAATGAAATTAAAAGTCTGTGTGCATATACCCTATTCAATTCAAATATCCAAACAACCTTATTCCTAAAAGACAACATTTTTGGTTATGTCAAACTTGATAATAATCACAGAAGTATTTACGTCTGAGAGTAATTTTTTAGATTTAGTTATGAAACCAACTTAATCTAAAGGCAATTTGTAACTTTGATTTACATCAACTAACCAGAATAGAACCTTATCGAACATTGTGACCAGTATTTTTTAAGGAATATCTTAAAATGCAGATGGACAAGTGGATGCATATGCTACAGGTTAATTCATTGAATTTTTATATATATATATTTTTTTGATACATTCAATTTGATAAAATAATTTCAGACTATATGGGTTTAATCCATGAAACAATGTTGTAGAACAAATTCGTTGAGTAAATGATTCAATCACTTAAAACAAATGGTTGCTAAACTAAAGGAATGCTTCAATGGCACCATCATTGCATTAATACGTTTTGGAAACCAATCATTTTTACATACAGTGCTCAGCATTATTAAGCACACCCCATTTTAAAAATGAATACTTTTATCCATTCCTTAGTGAATGTATTTTGGTGCATTTTAACAAAACAGATTTATTAGCAGATACATTTATTAAAATATTATTTTAGTCACCAAACATAATTAGAAATTGAAAGATAATACAATTAAATTAAAGCAAAGTATTGCAAAAACTATTATAACCAACACAATTTTTTTTTTTTTTTTGCATATCCTGATTTTTCCCCTTTTTTTAATTTGTATTTATTATATTTCTATATCATATAAATTTGGGTGTACTAGTTTTTGGACTGTTATAAGTCATTTTGTAAAATAAGCACCAGATTTGGCTTCAGTACTGACTAATCTAATGTATATGCACAAACATAATATTGAATAGCTTCCCATTACAAATATGAATTTAAAAGATCGATTTGTGAGGGGTGTACTTATGCAGAGTACTGTCGAGCTATAATAAGCAAATTGAACATTCACACAAAAAAACATGCTAACAAAAAAGACCTCAACAAGATGTCAAAACACACAGACTTGAATTTAATCATGATGTTACAGCATGTACATAAAATAAAAAAAACTTTATACACTCATGTACAAGCAGGAGACCTGCTTATAAAATACCCGAAGCTTTGCTTAACAAATTGAGTTTTTGAAACTATTCATCCAAGAAATGATTTTGCTGTCAATTTACACACCACTGGGCAATCAAATATGTAGAAAACCTTTTGTTGTTGTTGCTGATAAGATTTGTAGCTGAAACTATTACTGCAAGTAAACGGTTAACAGCACATATATACTGTAGCTGAAACTAATTTAAAATCCAAGGTTTTTGACGATACATTAAGGTCTCATAAATTGAAACTGTTCTAGTTTGCATCGGCACATGTCATTATACCGAAGACTTAAGAGTTTAAAAAATTAGTTTGCCCAAAAATAAAAACTCGGCTATCAATTCCTCACGCTCATGTCGTTCCAAGCCCCTGAGACATTTATTCATCTTCAGAACACAAATTAGGTACAAGGTAAATCTGAGAGCCCTCTCATCTTCCATAGATGGAAACGGTCCTAAGAGGCACCAAAAAGGGAACAAAAACTATTTTAAAAACATTTTATGTGACTTAATTTGTATAATTATTATTCATGTAAAGATCACATTTTGCACACCAAAAAAAAAAAACTTTGCCCTTTGACATTTTGCCATTTCTTCTGTGACAGGTTACAGTGCGCATTTACTATGGGCAATACAACATATTGCCATTAGAGTGAGCAGCCGCGTATATGCATTGCATTGACTGTAAATGAACATACTAATCTGACGCAGAAGACAACACCAAACTAATAATTTAAAAAATAAAAAATAAATTGGCTCATAAAAGTGTTCTTGGTTTTCATATGATTACAGATGCACTACTGAAGTCACATGGGATGCTTTGACACTGTTTTTGGTTCCTTTTCTAGACTTTGAACCATTGCTGTCTATGGAGGACGAGAGAGCTCTCGGATTTCATCTAAAATACCTTAACTTGTGTTCTGAAGACATAAAGATGAACAATTAATAACAGAATTTAAATTTTTAGCTGAACTAACCATTTAATGTTGAAAATAATATTTAGTTTCATCACCAAACTGATGGTTTCACTTCATAATATATAATTTGAAGATACAGGTATTACTTTTGCTTTGCCTAAAAGTGTTTTTGACTTTGTTTAGAAGTGCCAGTAGTAACTGAGACTGAAATTTAAAGACTTCTTTAAATTTAGTTTGTGGCAAAAACAAGTCCTGCATCTTGGATGTCCTGAAGGTGATTAATCCAACAGCAAATTTGAGTTTTTAGGTGAACTATTCCTTTAGGCTTAATAATATCATTGTAATATAAGAACAGCTTTGTATAACGCAGCCAAGCAATGAGCAATTATTCCAATTAGTCCACTGACACAGTCAATCCACAATTTCCATTTGTATTTGTTTTTTAATTAATTATCTATGTGTGTGTGTGTGTGTGTGTGTTATTTCTTCAAATCCTCTAAAATCTGGTGTGATCCTACAATAGTGAACAGCACTTTTACTGTATTTGGGCAAGACAGTCTGATGTGCTTTATTTTCACTTTTCTTTAAAGAATGACCCAAATAAAGCTAATAAAATACAGTCTATGAAACTAATCGGATGGAAAAAGGGCAAAACCAACTTTGAGAATCACCTGATATCACACAAGTGTGATCAATTTCATTTACTTCTTTTTACCTTTCTTTGTTTAATCTGGAAGAGGTTTTCATCAGTGGGATACGCGGCAGAATCTTTAGCCGCTTTTTGTTGTCTCTTTCTCTGTATCCTCTCCTTCTTTTTCGACTTGTCTTTTTTCTTCATGTGGTTCTTCTCCACTCCAAACAGCTTCACTGGCTTCACATTGGCTTTTTGAGTTGACGAATGAAAACCTGCCTTGTGAGGGCTCTTTTTGGAACCTCTGGGAAAGTCGGCATCTTCATCTATAACTGCAGCCTTTTTCTTTTTCCTTTTCTTGTTCTTGGCTTCTTTATTTTGAGATTTGAACTCTTTGCTTTGAGGGGTGTTTTTGCCGTGGGGTCCTGGTTTTTTGGAGTTCTGCTTGACCCTCCAGTGTGTGTTTTGTTGGTTTGTTTGTGGATTGTGTTTGGGTGTGTGTGCGATGCGTTTCTTCGGTGTGTGGTGGTTGTTTGTGTTGTTTGAGTACGGATGTGGACTGTGGCTGACTTTTTGTTTCTTTCTGGGTGGTTGAGGGGTAAATGTTACAACGCCTCCATCAGGAGAAATCAGTCCGGCGTCCTGCATTTCTGTAAGAAACGCATCATTAAGTCTTTAGCTCTCAACAATGTTTATTTAACTGAAATGATCAGAATCTAACAAACCTCTGGCCTTCTTTTTCAGACGGAAATCCCGGCATTTGATGTCATTCACTGTGTCATAATAGGTGATAACTGGCAAGGATGGATAGGACCAATTGTACATCCTTCTCTGAGAGCATTGCTGCAGAAAACACACAAATACTTTATGATTTCAGATCATGGGGATTAATGAGGTCACATGAATATTGGAATTAATATAACTTTAAACTGAATTAATATAATTTTACTGGAATTAATATAATTTGAAATGCAATTTATGCATATGATGGCAGCTTATTCATTGATTATTATTATCATTGTTACTCGAATCCTTTTAATATGTGAATGTAGTGCTCCAAAAATATTAACAAAGAGTTATGCAATTAATATTTTTTCTGAAAAGAGTGATACATTTGGCGAATAAAAACATTTTATAGAATAAAAAAAGTGTATTTTTTCTTGATAACATACTATTATGTCACTAAATATACATTTCATTAAAAAATAAATAAATAAATTATTGACACCAATGTTTTAATTACTTGTGAATACACTCACAGGCCACTTTATTAGGTACACTTACTAGTACCAAGTTGGATCCCCTTTTTCCTTTAGAACCGCCTTAATCCTTCATGGCATGGATTCAACAAGGTAGTGAAAATATTCCTCAGAGATTTTCGATAGCATCACGCAGTTGCTCCAGATTTGCACATCAATGATGTGAATCTCCCGTTCCACCACATCCCAAAGATGATTTTTTGAATTGAGCTCTGGTGACTGTGGAGGCCATTTGAGTACAGTGAACTCATTGTCTAGTTTAAGAAACCAGTCTGAGATTTATGACATGGTGTATTATCCTGTTAGAAGTAGCCATCAGAAGATGGGTACACTACACTGTGGTCATAAAGGGATGGACATGGTCATCAACAATACTCAGGTAGGCTGTGGCGTTGACACAATGCTCAATTGGTACTAATGGGCTTAAAGTGTGCCAAAATACCCCACACCATTACACCACCACCACCGGCCTGAACCAATGATACAAGACAGGATGGATTCATGCTTTCATGTTGTTGACACCAAATTCTGAGCCTACCATCTGAATGCCGCAGCAGAAATCGAGACTCATCAGACCAGGCAACATTTTTCCAATCTTATACTGGCCAATTTTGGTGAGCCAGTCTAAATTGTAGCCTCAGTTTCCTGTTTTTAGATGACAGGAGTGGCACCAGGTGTGGTCTTCTGCTGCTGTAGCCCATCCACCTCAAGATTTGACGTGTTATGCATTCAGAGATGCTCTTCTGCATACCTCGGTTGTTACGAGTGTTTATTTGAGTTACTGTTGCCTTTCTGTCAGCTCAAACCAGACTGGCCATTCTCCTCTGATATCAAAAGGGCATTTGTGCCCACAGAACTGCCACTCACTGGATATTTTCTCTTTTTCGGACCATTCTCTCTAAACCCTAGAGATGGTTGTGTGTGAAAATCCCAGTAGATCAGCAGGCTCTGAAATAGTCAGACCAGCTCGTCTAGCTGCAACAACCATACCACGTTCAAAGTCAGTTTGATCTGCAGCAGATAGTCTTGACCATGTCTTCATGCTTAAATGCATTGAGTTGCTGCCATGTGATTGGCTGAGTATAAATTTCTGTCAACGAGCAGTTAGGCAGTTGTACCTATTAAAGTGGCCGTAAGTGTATACTGTAGTTTAGATTTTATTTATTTTTTTACCTATGCCTTATTTACTATTTTTTATATGCTCTGTGAAAAGGGAGGTTTTGTAAATCATTTAGAACATTTAAAAACTTTATTTTCAGTTTTGACTAAATCTCACAGGAAAACCATGTAACGTTTGAGCGAATAGTAGCAAATTCATATACATTTGATTCATTTCTCATTTGTATGAAATTAGAGTGAAGTTTTACATATTCTTTTTGTATAAAATGATTAACTCAACCATATTATTCAAATACTATACATATTATAAAAGAGTTACAAACTGTGAGCTGACTGGTTATTATTAAATGTCATATCTAAAATGTTTACCTGCATGGTTGTTGCAGTTATTCATTCTTTTTTTTTTAAATTCAGAAAGCAAGCGACTAGCACTCCTAATGTGACACCCATGAATGAAGCAGATTCACTTACATGGCCAAAGTGTCCTTTCCTGGAGCAGTTATAACAATAGGCACGTTTCTGGCAGGCCTTTGGATCAGCAGACTTGCGGATGGGTCCTGCAGTGGTCTACAGAGAAACAAATACACAGATTCTTCAGTCAAATTGCTGGACAATTACTACAGTTTACACAACAGCCTTAACTTTAAAACACGTACATAAAAATCGCTTTTGATCAAATCCCCCGGCCCTAGTTTTGAGAAACGTTTGGTATTGAAAAAGTAGAAACAGAAGCACTGACATTCTGTTAAACAAACATTCCGTAGCGTGTTTCTACACTCCTAATAGCAAAGGCTGATGTCCATTTACAGTAAAAGCATCTACTGTGTGACACACTAAAGCAGTCGGGTGAAGAAACCATCAATTAAGGTGACATGAATTCGAGCAGAACCACTACCAAAAACACTCTCTAAACACACACTAGAACACAAGTCCGCTCATTTTGAGTGTGTGAATGCACCTCGGCCCTACAGCGGGCTCTTTGTGTGCGCGTGTGTTGGGGGCAGCCGACTACCTGCGTTATATTACTTGACTTCACTCAATTCCTTTCACTCAGTCCTGTTATTATAAACCTCACTTACATTTCCCATCTCGCTAGTGAATGATGACCCCATTCAGTCTCTCTTTCTCCCATCATCCACTCTGTCTCCTCCTCCCACTCTTTCTCGCAGACATTCATATAATCTGTATATTTTTCTTTTCTTTGAGGTGATATAAGGGAGTGATTACCGAGGGTATCAATAAATCCCAGTAATGCGCTGGTGATAAGACCGCCTTTGGAGTGTGTGTATGTGTGCGCGCGTTTCTCCATCTGGTCCCGGGGAGCCCAAAGGCGTTTCACGCTCCATCGCCCTCCGTAAATACAGCACGATAAAGAGGGTAAGCCGACTGGTGCGAGCATGTTTGTGTGCATGTGTGTGCGTGCCCGAAAACTACACACATATTGTCTTTTAATGTCTCCTCAAGGGGGCGTCAAAACATACGCACACTCATATACGTGCATTTTCAATAAGCTGGGACACACGCGATCCCACCACGTCATATTTTAAACATATCTTCCTCTGTTCCGCACACTCTCTCTCTCTTTCTTTCTGTCCGTTTTACGCTTGAGTGGTTAAAAGGGTGGAGGGGTGAATGCTATTAGAAGCGTTGGTCATTATCAGCTCAGCGCTGGAGACTGCTCCATCTCCATCACAAAGACACCACCGGTTACCCCTCCAGACACCCACCCATCCCACTCTCTCTCTCTCTGTGTTACTTGCTCACTCTCTCTTTAACCCAAGCACCGTTTGCCTTCCACTGGCCTTTAGCTCTGTGTTTGCTTCTCCTCAAACATCACTACTGCTTGTGCTAATGCTTGTTGGTTAATGACTTAAACACATCTCTAAACTTCAGTGTAGCTTGTTCTGCAAACACAACTGACATCTCAAAAGGTTTGGCTTGTTGGGGAGGAATTGTTACTTTTTCAATTGGTTGATGGAGGTCAGGGCTGTGTGTTTTGAGGAAGAAATTGTAGAAGTTTTGAAGAAATTTTGTAGAAGAGGCTCTTCTGCATATCTCGGTTGTTACGAGTGGTTATTTGAGTTACTGTTGCCTTTCTGTCAGCTCGAACCAGTCTGGCAATTCTCTTTTGACATCAACAAGGCATCTGCAGTCACAGAACTGCCGCTCACTGGATATTTTCTTTTTCGGACCTTTCTCTCTAAACACTAGAGATGGTTGTGCGTGAAAATCCCAGTACATCAGCAGTTTCTGAAATACTCAGACCAGCCTGTCTGACACAAACAACCATGCCATGTTCAAAGTCATTTAAATCACTTTTCTTCCCCATTCTGATGCTCTGTTTGAACTGCAGCGGATCGTCTTGACAATTTCTATCTAAAAGCCTTTGTGATGTTTTTTCATATGATTTAATAGCTGCAAACAACTCTAAAATCGCACCTATTACAAATTACCTGGTTTTCTTTGTGTCTGTGACTTTAAACTAAAATATTTTAATATTACAGACATGCTGTTTTTCTTTTATGGGTTAGGGTTAGGGTTATTTTTTCTATTAATGCTTCTGACACAGCAGACGCCATTATCCCACTTGTTCGCACTTTCCTGTTTGTTTGTTTTATTGTAGGGATTCATAGTTTGGTTGCGCAATTCTGAAATATTTCTCCTTTTAAATGAATTAGTTAATACAGTAAGTAAAATTTTTTTTACACATTTCCATGAGACTGCATTAAAAAACAAATTCCAGTCACTGAAGATGGAGCTTGAGACATTAAATATCATAAAGTGGCCTCTCCAGAAATTAGAGACCCTGGCTCTTATTAACTCTAATGAAACAATTTACAGTTTGACAAGATTAACTGTATTTTTAAATCAAGTAAATGCAACATTGGTAAGAATGAAAGTTTTTAGAGACTCGCATCTGAACATGAACAACATCTCAATAATTAGACTTAATAAATTGCTGTTTACTTTGAAGTGCCCAGTTCACAAACATTTCGAGTTCAGCATGATAAAATGAATAACGTGGCACAGTGACTCAAGATCTACTAAGCCTAATTTACTGAATGAGTCATTAGGCTGGTTTAAACAGATCTTTGTTGAGATCCAGAATCTTTGTGAATGAATCACTGACAAGAATGCGCTCATATGAGTAATTTGTTTTCAATTTAGACTATGCTGGTTGAAGGAAACCCAAAAACAAGATACATACTTCTTGTCTTTGTGTAATTTTACACTTACTGTCCTTTCACACCAAAGACGGCGAGAGCGTCAAAGTTTGCTTTGGCGACAACTCTGTCTGCCTTACTGTGCCGCTGGCGAGAACGTCAAAATCCTATACATTGATCTTGTATTTAAGGGAGCCATTGCAGCATATCAGCAAATCAGTTACGTTCCCAAATAAAAACGGCTCTCTAGCGAGAAAATGTTGCATGCTTTTTATCTAATTCATTTAATTATGGAAGATCAAGTTGTTGCGTGTGGGGTGGCTTTGTTTCACTTATCCAATGTGTGCATATATCTGAAATATTCAGAAGCAGCAATACTGCTTCGTGTTGTCGTTATACTATAGTTGCCATGAGATGCTTTATTTAAAAAGAAAAAAAATGTATATATAACATTAATGCATGTCAACTCATCACTAACTTTTTTTAATGCATGTCCCTGTAAGAAACACTATAAATAATTATAGATCGGGCAACCGCAATAATCAAACCCTTAGGAACAACTGTGGTCAGAAGTTCACATGACTGTGTTCTCTGGAATCCTCTCAAGACTTCTACATACTGATTGCTTGCTGCCGAACCACATCATGGCTCATTACCATAAAGTTGGCTTGATTTCAACTCTCCTCAATGCCTACAATGACGAAGACATGCCGTGCCGCTCCTCGCCACTGGTTCCCATGGAAAATGAATGACTTCCGACGACATTGACACACTCGTTACCTTCGGTGTGAAAGCACAGTAAGTCTTTCAGCATGTTTTTGTAGTTTGCACAGAGAATGTGCACCCTTAATTCTTTTCCATGTAGACTAAGGAAACACTGTCTGAGTATTTTAGTATGATGTTCCATCCACATCGATGGAAGAATGCAGATGTGGAAAAACAATTAAGAGAAGATCCGGTTCTCCATTCCAAATCCCACTTACAACTTCACATCAATGGGCTAAAAACCGCTGACAACCACTTATTGTGACCACTTACAATCACAAACGGCAGCAACTTCACAAACCACTCATATTTTCCTCAGAAAAACATTACAATTCATTATTTGTCTTCCACTGAAGGAGCTACTGCATTTGCATAATTGTCCCCTTTTTTTAAAATGTTTATGGTAGTTTGATAATTAAATATATTTACAACCTCAGACTATTGACCTTATTGTTCAATGCAATTTAGAACTTCCGATTCAGTTGCCTAAGGAAGAAATTACTAGGAATAATAAACGGCAGAAAATGGTCAAACTACTTCCTTTACAAACAAGTGTTTGCATGATTATACAGACAAAGTAGAATAATATAATAAGAAAACATTGGTTTGCAACATCAAGCAACATGACGAGCTGATTTTAATGCCTAAAAATTAATGGAAGTGAATGAGACCGTAAGTTTCATGCCAAGAAGGTTTAAAGAGCTGCACCTGCTCATACATGAAGAATAAGGTGAAAAGATATCAGGCTACTTAAGACAAGGTTTAAAATGAATCCCCTTTCTTTGCCTGACACACTGATATTACATTAGGAAGGCTCTTTTGGTATTATCTTGAACATAGTATAACAATTCATTTACTGTGTTATGAAATGGAATAGATGTTCAAATGTTAATTTTTTTTTACTTGCAAAAACAACTGAAGTCTTTAAATCAGCATGAAATCAAAATTTACAATAATTAGTCTTAAGGTGAACAATTAATCCATACAAGTTAATCCCCTGATAAAAATAAATAAATAAATAAACTGTTTGATTTAGTAATCTTAAATCAAAATCAAAACATTTACATCAGCTCTGGAATGGCAGTCCTTTTATGAGGATAGTTTGAAATGCCTAATCATGCCTCTTTAACCATTCATTTGTTGTTCGTGAAATACAAGAAGAGAGCATTAATAAAACCCCAATCCTTAGTCAATACTCGGTTTCAGTTGGAAATACGTGATCAAAATGAAATAAATGTTTGAAACAACTTTTGTTACACGCAAACTTTAACAAAAACAAGACTACAAGTTTTCACAGACAACCACTGGGAAGTTGTAGTTATTTATATTTTTTAACACATTGGCAACAAGAAGCAAATAAAACAAGGACATTTTTACAGATAGCCCTTTTAACTTCCCTGCTTTCACTGTTTCTCATGTTCCTCATTTCTACAGTGATCAGATGATGGAATATGAGACTGACACTTAAAGCGATCATGAGTCATTATACAATTCAATAAGAGTGTTCAATTGCCTGGACCGAACTTATGTTCGAATGTCCCCCCTTTGCCACCTTCTTGGCTGGTTTGTGTTCGTTTTTTTTCCTTCTGAACCATAGTACGCTTGTGTCATCAAACTGCTGTTTTGCGTACAGCTGTT